AACATTATTACTTCTGAAATTCCAGGTCAACTTTGTGATCTTTAGGCCCTATTTGATAGAGCTCTTGCTCTAGGAAATCCTGAATGTAAAGCTACAGACGTGTCAAATGTATTTACAAGACTCATTATTATTTATTTTTTATATTAAATAAAAAATATTTAAACCACTTTAATTAACCTACAAACTTTCGAGAGATTGGGTCTGTTATATCCACATCGGATGGTTGTGAGATGATAGACCAAGAAACCTTCCTCTCTTTAATAGTCCTATTAGGTAAAGAAGAGGGTGGTTTTTAATTAAAGAGAATTCTCAAAGAAAAAAATACTCGTATAGAGAAAGGAGATCTCTTGGAGTACCTACATCCCCTATATCGATAATGATATGATTAAGACGCCCGGACGAACGGACGCCTCCCACCACTCACTCCCGTTGTGCTCGTGCCCCTCCTCATTCTTATCCCTTCACGTCCTCCCCACACCCAATGACGCGGCCATTGTTGCTTCCCTAGCTGGCGGCGGTGCCCTCACCCACCCCGCATGCGGGCTCCCCCACCCCCAAGATCCTCCTTGCCCACCTCAGGGCGCTCCTTCCCCACCCCAAAGATCCTCCTCCCCCACCCTGGCGGCTCCTTCCCCCACCCCGGCGTCCTCCTCCCCCACCCTAGCGGCCTCGTCCCCCACCCCGGCGTCCTCACCCACCAGGAGCGCCCAACGCCCACGGATCCGGTGGCTCTCTCCCCTACCCCGGCGAGATCCAAGCAAGCCACTGACCCTCCCCTACCCCGGCCGACGGCGCCCTCCCAAGATTCGGCATCGCCTTCTCTCCTCGGCCGACGGCGGCATGGCATGGATGGACGGGCGCCAAGACCATCCAAATGAGCTCAAGGCCACCGCAGCTTGCTCACCAGGAAGGTCATGGCCTCGCGACAATGCTGTGTTTCAAGTGTTTCTAGATGCTTTTCAGACATGTTGCAAGCCCATGTTTGAAGTGTTTCAGATGTATGTTTCAATTGTTTTATGCGGATGTTTTAAAAGTAGATCGGGACGTTGCATATGTTGCAATGGTTGTACATGTATGTTACAAGCGTCTATCCCTAATGTTTCATCTGATTTTTTTACACGTGTGTTGCAAATGTTTCAAACGCACGTCTCAAGTGTTTCATTTGTCTTCTTTTGTATATTGCAAGTGCTGCATCTGAATGTTTCAAAAGTAGATCTAGATGTTACACATGTTGCAATGGTGTTTCAACTGTATATTCCAAATATTTCATCTGTTTTAGACGTATGTTGTAAAGGTTTCATTTATATGTTGCAAAAGTGGACCGGGGTGTTGCACGGCGCGGCCGGTGGCTGTCGCTGTGCGGGGCTTGGGGTGGGCACGGGTCCCTGCGACAAACAGGGACGCAGGTGTTGGGGGGCAGGACGCGGGACAAGGGGCATGAGGCCGGATGCGGACGCGGGAGCGGCGCAGGTGTCGAGGCCGCATCCGACACAACGTCCCGTCCGGACGTCCGGGCGCTAGGCATACCGCTCCAATATTGCAAGATTTTAGAAACAAGAGATCTATTTGAGTTGCTCTAAAATCCATTAGCAAAGGCATTAAGGGCATGTTTGGATGTGGTTTTAGAATAATATTGTATCAATAAACTATTGCTTTAAATGCTAAAGACGTACAAAACCGTGGTTTTTATTTTTTTAAAAAGAGAGATATAGAGTGGAGTATCCAAAGCTTTTAAAAGGACTCTGGTTACTAGAAAACATGTTCTATCAAACACCTAGCAACTTTCGGAAACTAAAGCATTTTATAAAATCATAGTATTTGTCTAGTATTTTAAAAATACTTTGTAGCAAACAGAGTAAGACCCAAATTCCCAATATCGATGGCTTATCATCTCTGTGACTTTAGATAGCTCAGTACAACCAGCTAGGCATTTGTGTCCGTACATGCAGAATTTCAGAAGAAGAAGAAAAGGCGTCTGTGCACTGGACGACTATCAGTGGGCCAGGGTGAAGTACATGTCGAAGATGATGACGATGGAGGTGTTCATGGAGCTAAGGAGCAAGACGATGGAGGTGTTCATGGAGCTAAGGAGCTTGCTGCTCATGTACCACTAGACATAGGGCACGATGTATGAACCAGGACAACTCCTGAGTCCTCGAGTGCTAGACTATCAAAAGCCATACACACGACTACTAATTTACTAGTCGGTGCTACGAAACGTCGACATGTCTCCTATATTGTAAGATTTTAGGGATACGTGATTTGTTGGAGATGTTGTAACATCTGTTAGCATAAGACATTAAGGACATGTTTGGATGTGGTTTTAGAACAATAAGGTATGACCAAACTTTTGTTTTAGAAGTTAAATACGTGGAAAACAGTGGTTTACTAAATAAAAAATAAATCCAAAGTGGAGTATCCAAAACTTTAAAAAAATATGGTTATAAGAACTAGAAAACTTGTTCCATGAACACCTAAGGCCCAAAGCGGTGTGTGGCCAAAGTGATGCTCAAAATAGAGTGTGTATTCGGACAGCAGCAAGTGATGCCATTTACCAATGATGCTAGAAAAACAGGAGTCATGCGTGTTCTTGCATTGATTTCCAATTAATAAACTCCTATTGTTCTAATGTAGCATAAAGCGGAAGAAAAACTAGGACAAGTACTTTTTTTACTCATTTGGGCTCCAAATATGCAAGATACTCCCTCTGTTCCAAATTATAACTCATTGCAACTTTCTCGGAGAGTCAAATCATTTTAAGTTTGACCAAATTTATATAATTTTATGATAGCAAATAAGTATCATTAAATTATTCATTAATTATATTTTCATAGTATGCATATTTGATGTCATAAATTTTGTCATTCTCTTTATAGGCCCTGCTCGCTTTACCCCATATTCAAATTGTTTTCCGCTTTGTTTTTTCAAATTTAATGTATTTTATCTCACAACAATTCAAATGTAACGTGATATTTTTTCAGCGTGGGTTTCCAAATGGATTCATTCAGTTTTAACGGGGCCTATTTTGGTCAAACTTGATATTATTTGACTCTCGAGAAAGTTGGAATAATTTATGATTTGGAACCGAAGGAGTAGCTTCAAGTCTTCAACGCCTGCTTTTTCATACGGTGTGGGTTTGAAGTGTGATGTTTGTTTTTCTTGCTATGGGATTTATTTTTGTGGAGAGCCTAACAACTTTCAAAAGCCAAAGCATTTTACAGAACCGTAGTATTTATCTGAGATTTTAAAATACTTTGTATCAAACAGAGCCTAATAAGACCCAAATTTCCTAGAATCGATGGTTATCACGTAACATCTGTGGCTTTGGATAGCTCAGTACAACCAGCAGGGCACTGTAGGCTGATGGGAACAAACCATGCAGAATTTATTTATTAAAAAAAATGCGTCCGTGCACTGGACGATCAGTGCGCCAGGGTGAAGTACATGTCGAAGACGACGACGATGGAGGTGTCCGTGGAGCTGAGGAGCTTGCTGATCATGTACCCGCGCGCGAACTGGAGCTTGCCCGTGCCGCCGACGATGCTACGCTCCGACGGGCCGGACACGATGAAGTGTCCCTGCGTCGCCAGCGTGCTGCCGCTGTACTTGCCGTAGTCAGAGAAGACAAAGTCGATGGTGGTGAGGCCGCCGGACTCGTCCAGCGACGCGTGCACCCCGATCCCCTGCGCCCTGCCGATGAGCCGCGACGCCGGGTCGGGCCCCTCCCGCAGCGCGTTGTCGAACACGTTCAGGTCACCGAACGTCGACGTGTTCCTGCACGCATGGCATGGCATGGCACCACGCAGCACGTACGCACGCACCATGCACGGATCGATAGGCGTTAGCACTGGGTGAAAGACTGGAAGATACACGCGTCATAGCTAGGGGCGCCGCGCATACGTACTTGTGCAGGCTGGCGACGTTGACGACGGTGGCGTTGGGAGCGCCGGCGTTGACCTCGTGGAAGTAGAAGTGGAGGTGGGTCAGTTTCTCATCCGCGGTGGACGCCACCGAGCAGCAGCAGGTCAGTAGCAGCACGAGAGCCACGGAAGAGCACCGAGCAGCGGCCATTGCTTCAGTCGTCGCTCTTCAACTTCGACGCTTTGCCCTCTGTGATGTGTGTTTGCGAGTCTGAACAAAGATAAAGAGAGAAGTGAAGAGTTGGTGAGGATGAGATGGGAGAGCGGCGGGATGTCACACTCAGGCCGATCAATCGTTTAGCGTAGCATGTTAATTTTGGATGGAAGGAATAAAAGATAAGGTGCTCATTTTTGAAAGAAAAGATGCGGATTAGTTGCTGTTGCCGTGACTATCTACCAACACAAGCAAGTGATTGCCAGCATTCATGCAATTGAGGAATCTTATTTTTGTGGTGCTTCTTGAATAATCAACTTTATATCTTCTGTTATTTTAGGTCAACTTATGATAAACTGTAGGGGCAGTGAATATCCAGAGGGAACAGATGTACTATGCTCATGCTAAGGCAGATCGTCCTTACTATGCTCATGCGAAGGCAGAATGGAGGGGGGGGGGTTGGGGGTGCAATCATCCTTCGTGGTCCATTTCATCATCAAACAAACAGTAACAGTTTATCATAAACTGCCATCCAAGGCTAGCCGGTCTAACAGAACACAAGAACGAATTTGGTGAGGACGCTCGCAAGATGCTTTAAAATCTGCTACTTGGCTAATAAAACGTTTGATCCACAGCTGTTCGGGGCTTAGGCGCATCAGGCCTCCAAAAAAAAAGTTAGCCCTCACAGCTTTTCCCCTTCTATCAATGTGTGCTACATTCCTCTTTGTACAAACGGGCATAGCTGCCATAGTATAATACGTAGCTACTATACAATTAGTGTACAGGACCGTCAGATTATATCGAAACATTCTGTTAGAGAGCGATGAACTCGTGGCAGTCACAAATGCTCATCAGCATCAATCACCTCTTCTTCTCCAGGTAATGGAAGAATGAAACCAGGAGCATTCAGTGGTGGTGTCACATTGTCAGCTAGTCAATCGATTGTCTGCTCTCTCTCTTGAGATCCTCTCTTCCTGTATCTCCTCTAGTTCGTCCCCATCACTCCGCTTGCCTGCTTGCTCCTTCCAGTAGGCGATCAACTTCTTCAACCTCATGATTTCTTTTGGGGCAACATGCTTGCTCGTATCATTAACAATGCAACGAACCCGTGAAGCATACCTACAAGGTTACAAAAATTATATAAAACAAAGCCACCGCACCATACCACAGGAATGTCCTATATTGATACAGACTTTCAAAACTGTCGACTCCAACCAGTATAAATAAAGTTTTTGCAACAAAATTACCCTAACCATCGTACCCATTTGATAGGAACAACTGAAATGAATCAATGGAAAAGCTAATATATCAAACCACATTGATGGAAACAGTGACAAATAGCAAACCCAAAAGACAAGGACATAGACTCAGTGAGCAAAGAAGTACATACATCAACGAGTTGTAAGTCTCCTCCAAGTTAGACTCTGCTGGTGAAACATTCACAAACATTAAGGTCTTCGCATTGCCTCCGAGAGAATCACTCATAAGCATTGTTAACTTATGGTTCCGGTAAGGTATATGTTGTCCATCAGAAGATAAAGCACCAATAACATCAGCCAAAGCAGAAAGAGATTTATTTATACTTTGTGCTTCTTTCAATTGCTTTCCTGCTGAACCAGATTTTTTCACCCTCTCAGAACCAGCAAGGTCCACAAAACTTAGCTGTTCAAACAGAGGAACACTGTCAATTCTTCCTTTTAATATGAAACAAACTCTGAGATTAATTATAATAGCGCAGAAATATGGTATCGCTCTATACTTTATATTAAATCACACACAAAATTAAAACATGCACTAAGACTGCATATTGGATACTACTAAAAAAAATGAAAACCAAAGATCATATGAATAACCAGACTACCAAGGCCAAGATACTACAGAAAGTACAATTTTTTTTAATCTTATAGAACAATTGAAATACAACTAGTGTGTTTTCCAGGTAATGTTTGCCAACAACCTCCATCAAATCACAGGTGCAGTATTTTCTACAACATGCAAAAGTTCAACGATAAAGTACCCAGGCCACAGATAAAGGGAGACAGAATATTCAATATTTTTTTCATTATTATAGATGAAAGTATGGTCAGTAGACTCAAGACCAAATTGGAGTTAAGTTTGCAGCTTCATCCTGCCATACCTTGCCTCTTGCATATGATTGAGTTTGGAGATTTGTACTTTCAATAATGATTGAAAGAATTAAATGAGACCTTGAACTCTCATCATTCATATTCGTTCCGGCAGTGTGCCTCCTCTCAGAACCTCTTGTAATTATAGCCCTCAGTTCCTCAATACTGGAAATGCTCACAACTGTCGCATTTTCAACAGTAACAACACCCTAAAAAGTAGTATAGAATAATTAACTCTATGAGCATGAAAGGCTGTACATGGATAAAAAACACTTCTGAAATTCCCAATGGAAACTGCACAGATCAAGGTGATGGTTGGTTTGTTTGAATTACTACTATCAGATATAGATATTTCAGAATTTGAACAGAATTATTATGAAGATGCAAAAACAAACTGTCAAGAAAGTACTAAAGCAAGTTATTTAGTGTCAAACAATAAGATAAATTAACTGAATGTCCTAGCAACTAACAAAGTATGAAACATAAATATCTGAATACTACAGTTTCCGAAAAGCACAAGAAGTCAATAAGAAAAGTGGTAATCAAATATGCAAATAAAGTAGGGTAGCATATCCAGTGCACTATAAGAATAACGAACTGAATTTATATAGTAAAGGAAATCCAAATTAGATATCAACACAAATCTAATACCTTGGAATCTTTTTTTATCTCTAACTTTAGCTGCTTTGCATTTCTAGGCAACAATAAATCCACAAGATTATCTTGATAAAGCTCCACCATATATGCCTACGTATAAAAACACAATTAAATTTAAGGATAATATAGAAGACAAACTTGGGATCTAAAGAACATGTTAAAACATGCGAAACAGTGTTTCTAAAGTCATTTTTTCTTCCCAAACCATGTAAAATGAAAGAATAAAGCATTGGTCAACAGTACAAATCAATGAGCCGAGTTTAGAAGATATAAATGAACAAAGCATATGCCTTGTAATCAAGATAAACATTACAAACACATATTCCACCTACCTTCAAAGAAAATGAATATTTGTTACTATCGCGCTTTATCACCCTAAAAAGTTCAGATGTGGCCCTTGGAGTAAGACCAGGATTGTTATCTGAACCATAAATAGTGAAAGTCTTCCCAGAACCAGTTTGGCCATACGCAAATATACAAACATTATATCCATCAACAGCTGACTGTACCAGATACTGCACCACATAAATTAAACAGATCATATGAAACCCAAAGTGAATAATCCTAGAAATAAAATTTATATACTGACGGCATCAACACAAAAGATAGCATTTGAAATATTCACCTTAGTATCCTCAAAGACTTCTTCTTGACTTGTGTTTGCATCAAAAACACGATCATATATATGTTGCTTCGACTTTTCATCTTTCCAAGGATGTGCAATTGTAAATTCATCAGGACTACAAACTATATTTTTCTCCTCGAAAGAACGTTCCTTATCGCTTAGAGGGCGCAAGCGACAAAAAACTCTTATTTTTCCTTTCATATCTGTAAAGAGTTGGAACATAAGTCATGGTAAATTCATCACAAAATATCATAGCCATTATTAAGCACAAACATTTAATTTTGATTTACCTTCAATTGTATTATAATAACGCTTTCGCAGAACCTGTTCTTGCTTATAAACATTCTCAAGTTCCACCAATTGTGCTCCTTGCCTTTTAAGAATTTCAGCAGTTTGTTGGTTCTTTCTGTCAACATCCTGAGACGGTGCAAAACCAAAAAGTATATAACTTTTTAAAAGACCTAAAAAATAAATGCAGTTATTATAAATCTCGTACCGCTTTGAACTCTCTTAGCTCATCAAGTTCTTTCAGACTATTTTGCAAGCCATCAACCTCAGCATTTCTTACAGCAAGATTTGATTCAGCCACATTTAAGGATCGTGTTGCAGCTTCCAATTTCTGCTCCAATTCAGCAATCTGAGATTTCATTTTACGACATTCATCCACATAAACCTTTTCCATTATGCTTTTCTGCAAAATCATATTCCATAATTCAGAATATGAAATGAATAAATTTTTTACTGAAATCAGAACAGAAAAAACATAAGTAGCATAACAACAAAACAATAAAAATAACCTCTTCATTTTTCATTCTTTCAAGCTTTTGAACTTTCTGGTCAAGAAGATTCTTTTCCGACATTAGCTTCTTCGAGACCTCTTTTGATGCATCAAGCTCCTTTTGGTATGATTTCAACTCCTCTTTAAGCTTAGTAAGCATCTTTTAGACACAAAAGAGAAAAAGCATCAGAAGTAACAATTTTGCAAAAATCAATGTAGACAAAGAAGTTATAAACAGGTCACAGATACCTCAATGTCACTATTGACGCTGCCTACAGTTGTCAAAGTATCTCTCTCACGGCCCTGGCCACTTGTTAATCTGGTTTCAAGTCTACTTTTTTCCATCAGGGCAGCCTAATAAAATGGAAAGTCAGATGATCCAAACAATTATAACTAAACCAACAATCTATCACCATACCTGCAAAGCAGATTCTTTCTCATCACATACAGATTTTAGCTTATCAAGCTCATTTTTTACTTCTTTGGAACTTTGCCGTTCAGATTGCAAGGTATCTCTTAGCCCTTCCAACTCTTCTTGCATCTCCGCTTTCTTGTTTTGTCTTCAACTGTAGATCTTCTTGCAACTAAACATAATGTGAAGACAATTATTTCCTCAGCAAAATGACCACTTTTATACATGTATTAAATGTACACTTTTATAAGATAGGCATTTCCATTTTCTTAGCTATGCATAAGACAAAAGATAGGTTCAAAGATGCCACCGTTGCAGCCCTCACATGACTATAGTGTAAGTGGCAATTGTAAACGGATTTGGGTACTGTACGGACACCTAAAAGATATTTGATGTGACAATAAGATGTTCACGAATCATGAAGTTTAGCCATCTTAACCAATATTTCTCAACTATTACCAGTACCTGACTAAATATGGTCTTCTAGAAATTTTGACCTACTAGTCTGGCACATTGTTTATTAACAAGAAGTGGAATAACAAAATGAAACTGTACAACTTTCTTTTCTGTTAATTGCCGTTTTGTGATTCTGAGCAAAAACACAAAGTGATCTGTGATTTTTAGCCACTACAGAACAGTATATTTAAATAGGCCAGGAGGACCATATTCAATTCAAGTAAAGCAACACTGCACCAGGCAATCCAATTGCAAAGAAATAGTTTAGAAATTTCAAGTTACACTAGCAAATACCTTAGGTTGCCAGTTTTGTTTGTGGCCAATGGTACTTACCCGATCTGCTTTCTTCTGAGATTCCTCAACTGTTTTTGTCAGTTCTTGGACACGCTTCTCATACATTTCGATATTTGGTGGCTTATATGCTTGGTTAACATCATTTTGCGATGTCACACTATTAGCAGAGCGTGCTTTTGAATATCTGCGGAGCATGACGTCGTTTATATGTGTTTGAAGTGCTACACATATTTCCTCGCCCTAAAAAACCATGGTTATTCTAACAGCTATAGACGATATAACAGGACAGATGTATTATAAACTATTTCCTCGAAGCTTTCGAATACCTGCTTTGTTTCAAATTGAAAGATATGAAGAACACCAGCAACTCGCATTTTAAAGAAAACAGCAGTATTGCTGCTACCAAATTGCATAATGTCTCTTAGTTCTGCAGAATGAAGATATTCCTTGGGAACCGGGCGGAAAAAGTGAACCTGCATTCATGCAGAAATTCAAGGTCAGTTTTACTTAGCAGAAAGAATATGAGGTTTCCATCGCATGGTTGAGATCAGACCCCTCGTTTGTTGATTCCCAAAATAATTTTTCCAGGTAGCAATCCTATTGGATCATCAATCTTCCGAACACTGAAGAAAACAGAGTTCCCATATGGAAGTGTCCTTAAGATTCTGAGAAATTGTTGTCGTGCATCATCCTTTGATAAGTGTTCCTGGAATCAAACAACGGAGTACTCAGGTAAGCAAGAGTTTTAATAAGGCTGTACCAATGTGAATGCAAATTGTAAATATATTGATAGACTAATAAATATAAAGTTCAAGAGCTAGATAAATACCATTAACTGAAAGCGTGAAATGATGTCAAGCTCCCAGTCTCGCTTTGCTCTGGTAATCGCCACTTGTCTAGGAAGAAATCTCTCTAAAAGTGATATCCATTCACTGGTGAGAGAAAAAAATTAACAGAGGGAGACAAATTATTTTTGTTACCACTGAAAAATGGCACGAGAGATCAGGTAGGACCTTAAGAAAAACTTACACACAGGACTCAGGATTGTCAATGTATCCAATCTCAACCAAGATTTGCAGAGCAGAGAGTTGTGAAGCATCATCCCTGCCGACAGGATAGTTTCCCAAAATGTAATCATGTTGCAACTGCAGAATAATGTTATTTGTTAGATCTATTCTGGAAACAAGATTACTTGAATAACAATAACACACAAACTGGCAGTCCTTCAGTTAGATAGCTATCAGAAGACTATCAAACCAGTACCTGAACATATGATAGCTGAACAAACATTGATCAGTCACAGCCTCATCCGACTCAAGGAAGAGACGCTTTCTTGAATACAAGTTTGCAATGAAGAATTTCTCCTTTGTTGCGATCCTTAGCTGATTTGAATTCAGATAGCAAGTCGCCAATATATTTGTTATCATCCAACCCAATGTATTCCTCTGCATATAAAAGAAAAAGAAATGCACGTGTTACTTGAAACACTTCTACAAAATCCTACTACATTTCCTTCTGCTTCATGATATCCGAACCACATGCATTATTTAAATTATGAAATAGAAAAGGAAAAAACAATGACTTGGTAGTTACCATTGCCAACCTCGGAAGACTTTGATCCGTTAACAAACTTCCGGCATTCAAATAGGCTGAAACTAGAATACACTGAAAGTTTGATAATGCCAGCAAGTTCCTGTCATTAAATCAATTTCATGTTTCCTTAGAACATTATAATTTCAAATGATATTGTAACTTTGAAAAGTTCACAAGAAACTGCAGCAACAAATCTAATGCCAGAACTGTTTAAGGAAAGTACAACATAACAGATAGAAATATCTTGCACCAAGTAATATGATTTGGGAAACCTGGGCTCCAAGGAAATGCAAGATTTTCCTATGGCTAGTGGCCCACAACCGTTGCTGGACAGCGGACAGGCTGGCACGCCGTGGCCTTCCCCATCCGGATCACTGCCCACTTTGTGACCAGGAAGATGAGACGATTAACCATCTACTCTCGGCATGTGTCTTCGCTCGGCAGTTTTGGCATCAGCTATGGAGATTTTTTGGGATTCCGGATGTCACAACCCAAACGGACAGTAACAATTTCTTCTTACGGTGACAACAAGCAAATGATCAAATGAGCAATGGTGTGCGGGATGGTTTCAACACCTTGGTCATTTTAGGGGCATGGACCCTTTGGAAAGCGAGGAATTATGTGGTGTTCAATGGGATCACCCCTAGAGTGGACAGAACCTTCCTACTGGCGCAGGAGGAATCTGAACTCTGGATGCCTGCAGGTGCAAAAGGTCTTGGTGCCGTGGTCACTACAAGGCCCCCTTGTTCAGTAGTTGGGAGTTGGTCCAGCTGGTCGTAACATATCTGTCTTTAGGCGCAAATGTAAAAGTATAGCCCGTGATCACGGGCAAGTGGTGTAAGCGCAAAAGTGCAAGGCATGTACACTGTGTATGGCTATTTTGGCCTAACTCTTCTTCTCTTAATGCAATGATATGCAGTCCTCCTGCATATTCGAGCAAAAAAAAAAACAGATAGAAATATCATCACATAACACTGAACTATTGTAATGTGGCTGAATATATGCCACTGGCCAACAGAGAAAAGGAGGGGGGAAAACTAGTCCAGAGAATTGGAAGTAAAACTATTATCGCAGATTCGCAGTCAACCGCAAAAATCCATTAGTTCTAGAATTCATAACATCAACAAAATAGCAAATGAAGAATAACCAAAGCGTGCCATCCATGTGGCATCAAGCACCATGTTACAACATCTTTGTGAGGTTGAGTTGAAGCCAAGAAGATGCCCACACTAAGATTTTCTATGAAAACCTTGAGTGAAGAAAAAAAGGCAAAAGATGATTACTTAGTACCTACCCTACCTATATATAAACTGATTCTAAATGGAGGTCAGGCAAGTCAAGAAGCATAAAAACTCTGACCCTTAGCAACTTTAAACTGCACCTGTTCTTTTAGCATCAATGAGCTTCGACCTCCATGAAAAGCACTAATTTTTTTTATTTTTCCAGTCATATATAGTCTAATATGCCTGCATTCTATGACAGCGCATTTTTTGCTGACCACGTCCTAAGTAATAGCACACTATTTGGAAGCAAGTCACACAAACCATTTATATATGCTATCGCTGAACTACAAAAACAATGTTATATTCTTTTAAAAGATTTTTGAAGGTATTGAGCATATATCATTTATAAAACTAATAGTTCAGAAAAAATGCATTTACCTCAACAGCATCAGCAACAGTTGTTGCCATATCATAGGTGATTTCTTCAAAAGTTTCGTCCAAGAAAAATACAATTGTTGTAAGCTTCCGGCTTGTCAAAAGAGCTTCTATTTCCTCCCGTGCAGGAATTGTAACCCTAGGACCTGCCTTGACTGATCGCTTTAATGCATTTAGTGTGTTCAGTGCTAGAACTCGAACATCAGAATCAGTTGTGGCACCGTGGGCAACATAGTGAACATACTCAGACAAGTATGCCCCAATATCTTTGCTTGGTGGCATGGATGATGCACACAAGTACATAAGCTCCCAAGCTCTTATTGACCAACCCCTGCAGGTACAATAAAATATATGGTTCCTACAATGATATACACATATGTTTGACATCCATGAGAAACCCAACTCACCTATCAGGATTGTTACGTGTTTGTTTTGAAATCTGTGCAAAGAGTTCATCTCGAAGTTCAGAACGCTTCAACGTATGCTTGTAGAGCTTCGCAACAAGTTCTATTCTCTCCTCCAAACTTATTATTGCTGGTGAATCGATGCCCATGTACTTTAGTATGACATGGAACAACTTAATTGAGCGGCTTACAAGGTCACTGCTTATCTTTAGTAATGAAGTTGGAATAGGATCCTGCAGGAGATACAAAGAAGCGCAAATTAATGATAGATGCAATTTGATGTGAGATATTGACCTTAAGCTTTAGCATAGAAGTTTAGAAGAAAAATAAGTTGAAACAAGTGCAACTGTGTAACTTCACAGATGGAATGAGATTTGGCAGCATCACCTTTTGAAAGCACAACATATCTTCCAAAGTGAACTTCTCACGAGCTTGTGGCCCAACAGACTTTTTAGAAAAAAATCCGCGTTTTCCAGCTGAATGAATCTGCTTTTGCATTGCTTTGAGAAAGCCCTCCACCTGTCATTTTCCAGCACTGATATCAGAGTGGGAATCAGAGCATTTCTTACTATCTGGAAATTGATAACAGTACTCTATGGAACCCTAATGGACATTTTGACGAGTCTGCATGGATGCTTAGGATATCTGCTGGTGTTGTTTAATTGAATTCCTTGTCTCTAATGCCAGTGACAAGGATAAATGTTGGTATTAACCAATTGAATGGTGAGAGTATATAGGGTTTAGAGTTGGAAACCTACATTCCTCCTATTTTTGTTCATATAGAAAAGAATGTAAACCTTAAACTTGAATGTCACGCTAATTGTTCTTACTTTCGAGTTTCGATTCACCTCTCAATTTCTTAAGAACAAAATGCCAAGATGTTGGATAGTCTCTTCATTTCACCAAAAAAAGAAGAAGAAGAAAGATCGCATCGGTGAGGATGTTAGAACGAAGTAGTCACGTACCTGGAATCGATCAATTAACGGAATAGCTCCAGCAAGCTCAGGAGGTATGGACATTGACAACGTTGACGGTGTACTGCAAAAACAGTAAGCCCAGATAGTAAATACGAATCACGTCCGACCTTACCAAGCCAACAGAGCTCTCTTCCGCGAATGTGGCGCAGAAGAAAGCAATGTCAATGTACGCTGTGGTGTCTTCGCTTCAAAACAACTACCACAAAATTGGTACCTAACGCATTTAACAAGTAGGGTAGTAGGCCATGGATTACGAGCACATCACAGGTAGCCAATTATAGCGACATTAACAGGATACAATAATTAAACAAATCCCAGCCATGAAACCATCAGGCCAACTTTTTCCCTCAACTTTCCACTAGGCTGGGAACTCTTTTGGCAATCATCATACGCAATAGAAAATCCAAATACCGGGGACATCCGGACCGGTAATTAACTAAATCTAGCACATAGGCAATAAACAGCACGAAATCAACTCGGAACGGAACCGAAGCAGCGGCAGGAGACGGCGAAGGAAGGGAGGGAGGTGGGGACTCACGGGGGCGCGAAGCTGTAGCCGTCGCTGTCGTACCCGTCGGCGGCGCCGTTGGCGGTGGAGGCCGCCGAGCCGTGCAGCGGCGTGGCCGCGGCAGCACTGCCGTTGCTGACGCTGCCGGAGGCGCCGTTCGGCGCCTGGTGCTGCGCGGGCCCCACCCCGCCGGCTGCCATCTCCCTCCTCGTCAGGAGCTACCGAGCTAGTAGTAGTAAAGCCTCCCCGCCCGAAGCCTCCTCAATCAACCTCAGGGTCCTCAAGTCCTCGCGTCCTCCAGCAGGTCACCGCCGAGCAACTCCAATCGCCATCACCGCAAGCGTCGAGACCAATCCCGCGACGCGGCCTCAGATCGAAAACGCCACGCGGAAGCGGCGCCTGGAAGCTCCGAACTCTAAGCTCCGGATGCCGGGCCGCCCCCGGAGTCCGCGCGTCGAGCGGGTGGACAAATGGAGCGAGGCCCCGGCAATGCGAGCGGTATAAGTAAGCCGACCCGAGTGCCTCGCGACAGGCGGGAAGGAGGAAGGGAGGCTCGGACCGGGTCGCGGGCGTCTCGTCCGGCCGCGGCCGGCAGGACGAGATCCGGAGGCGAGGAGGAGGGGGAGCACGGGACGAGGTGTGGACTGGAGACGAGGAGGAGAGAGAGGGGCTCACGAGGGGGTGGTATGGCGAGGCGGAGGCGGAGGCGGAGGCGGAAGGCTGGGGGGGTGCCAGCTGATTAAAGAAAATCACGCGCCGTGGGGCGGGGCCTTCCGCTGCTGTTTTGCCGCAGCGGGCGAGGGAATTACTCCTCCTCCCCGTGTCCCCGTGCCGCTGTTGGGAGTAGTAGGAATAGGAACGGGAGGGGAAGACGGATAGAAATGTTTGAATTTAATTTAATTTTGGGGATGAGAGAAATGGAATGAGAGCTGGTGGGGGGGTGGCCTGTGGGGTGGGACCCGCCCGGCAGGTAGGCAGTGGGGTGGGATGTTGCGGTGTTTTGTCCGGCTTCGAGGTGGACTGCGGCCATGCGGTACGAGGCTGCGTGCGTGCACCGCCTGCAACGACGCAACGGGCCTGCAGTGAAGCCACGAAGAAAATCTGTTGATCCATCCAGTTCTTGGACGGAGGTACACTGTTAAAGATTGCCTGATGTAAGGTTAGATAGGATATTCTTATGACCTAGCTGGAGCCTGGAGGAGAGAGAGGGAGGAAGATGAGACAAAAAGATGGTTGTTTCTGAAACAACAATCTCACGAGGAAGATTTTAAAACTGAGACAACTATTTAACGATTTGATATTGACATACAACTGACAAACTTTCCTATGATATCTGTATAAATTAAGGATAAATTGAATTATTATACGACAACCTATTGTATGAGTTAGTTGTTCAAAATTGTCTTGCCATTACTGAGCGTTGTATGAGACTATCTACGAGATGACACCAACATACTTGTCCTGATGGTTCATGGTATCCCCTATTCAATATATGATTCTTCCTCGTGTATGAATAGATTGGATCATGTACTTCTAAAAAGAAAAGGAATATTGTTGTACTATGGTACTTCATATACTATCTTCAGTATAGTCCCTCCATCCTAAAAGGTATGCAAAATTTCATAATATTATTTTAAATTTAACTAAATGTATAGATTTTATGAAGATTAATGGCTATCACTAAGTATTATTAGATTAGTCATTGAATATATTCCATAATGTACTATAGTGTCAAATATCGATTCTAATTTTCATAAACTCGATTAAATTTAAGTTAGTTAGGATCTAATAATCTTAGAATTACACCCTTCTTCGGACGGAGGCAGTACTAACGCAAAAACATCTAGTATAATTCCATGCAGGGGCGGATCTAAAGGGGGGGCACTGGTGCATCAATGGAAATATGGGGAGGGTGAGGGAAAAGAAGAGGTGGAGGAAAGAAGAAAAATGGAGAGAGAGGTGAAGAAGAAGAGACCAGCCCTCTTCAATCATGTTCCGCCCTCTTCAATCATATTCTGCATCCGCCACTGATTCCATGATTGAGTTCACTTGATTTTGTTTAGTCCATGTCATGCTTCTGCATGAGCTCAGGAGAGCCCCTGCTGGTACCATTTGTCAGCTGCCATTGTGCTACTACAAGTACATACAAACCGGGAGCGCGACGTGCGTGATCCAGCACACAACGCGCGTTCGGAGTTGCCAGCTCACGCCTCACCGCCATTGCCCAAATCGATACAAACGTTCGGTGTCTATGTCACGCTAATAATTCGTTGCGAATTTAGTGCTCGGTTCCAACACATCAGTTTTTTACTAGCAAGCGTAGACTAAGTTGTCTCGATGCGCGCGGTCCGGCTCCGGCCACGCAAGAAATCGACGGGTGGAGGCTGGAGGGAGGCCAGTAGCACCGTGTGCATGAACGAACCTTTTGACCGAGCGTCGTCGCCTTGGCTGGCCGCTAATGCAAGGCAGCAGCGTTAAGTCCTGCATGGCTGCAACTAATATATCCACGATAACAACCTCTACCATTAACCTTCACGGCATCATGCGTTCTGTTTCGCCACCGAACGCTCTGGCCCTATTCGATTGAACTTGTCAGTTATACCATTTCAGTGAAATAACAATGTTTTTCTTTCATAATAAATCAACATCAATATTAACATCAACACCAATTATTTTTTCAACGAGTCGAACAGAGCCTCTGTCTCCCGCCCTAGCTGGCTAACCTGGCCCCTATCGTTACACTACGGTCGTTGCTGCCGCACAAAGCCTGGAGGCTGGTGGAGCTGCGTCTACTGTCTAGTCTCTCGTACTCTCGTAGCGGTACAGTACAAGTAAAGGGTAGCTCTACCTCTAATACCACCAGCAGCACGTAGCAAGGGCACGAGCAATGGAGGCTAACACTTATAGTGATTTCAGTACAATTAAAATAGTCTACATAAATTAAAAAATATTGAGACTACTATTCACACAATGCAAACTATCACCGGTTGCTGTCTCAACAGTGCCTTTTTACTTTTATCATGTGTCACTTTTATTTTCTCTTTCTCTTCTTTTCTTTTCTTATATGGACCACATTTTCTCTCCTTAATTATATGTAGCTTCTACAAATAACTATTATAACTCTAGAGCATCTACTTTTTGTACAATATAGCATCTGATCCTACATGGATTTTGAGGCTACTTCTAAAGCCACTGCGTTGGAAAAACCCTAAGAGGAAAAAGACAGCGGAATAGCAGGGCAAGCTAATAAGGCAAGTGCCATACGTCTTGGCCGGGGACGTACGTACGGTGCGTCGTCAGCCGTCTGCAGAGCTGCTAGCTAGTAGCTGCTTTCGTTGCAATGTATGTATACGTACGGTACCATACATATTAGTGCTCTGATCGCTTAGCTGATAAGCCATGACTGAAAGTATTGTTGGCTGATTTATTGTGAGAGAAAAATATTATTAATTGACTTAAAAAAATACGGCAAGCCCAGCGAACATGTCACAGGTTAATAACCTGGTCCACGACTACGTACGAGGTCGCCATTGCGTTGCAACTCGTCAGCTTGGCTTGGTCCATGGGCCATGACATTCACGAGAGAGGGCCAGCCGGTGTACGTACGGCGCCACCAACCGCCGGCGTCCACGGTCCCGGACGGCATTATTCCAGATTCCAGAGGAACAGGGGCGTGCCAGGTTCAATTTTGTTCCGCGCTAGCTGTACTACTGTACCCAGACGATGGGTACCCTGCATCTGCACCCTCTGTTCGTTCATGTGTCCAGGACGAACGGTTGGTTTTTCTGCAACTGCAATGCACATGCACCCAAAGACCATGCGCTGCCACGCATGCATGTCACTGCAAGCATCTCGGTTCGATGCATGGTTCCAAGTTTTTTTCTCCGAGGCTCCGGGAATCCTATACAGCTATACTAAGTACTCACTTCATCCCAAAGTACAAGTCATTCCAAGAATCTTAGAGAGTCAAAGTTTTTTAAGTTTGACCAAATTTATATAACAAAATAATAATATTTATCATACCAAGTAAGTATCATTAAATTCTTCATTAGTTATATTTTCATATTATACCTATTTGATGTCATCAATCTTTATGTTTCTCTCTATAATTTTAGTCAAACTTAAAAAAGTTTGACTCTCCAAGATTCTTAGAATGACTTACAATTTGGGATGGAGGGAGTATATTTCAATGTTTTTTTTTATTTTTTTTTCTCAACCCTCCTCGCTGCCTTCTTCTCCATATCCAACGGCTTTAAAAGAAAAAATGGTGAATCTGATGGCAGAAAAACGGACCAGCGTTTGTGGTGAGCGCAGGAGCAGGAACAGCGAGGCGAGGCAGCGGTGATGTTGTCAGCTTGGACGGTGGAGGACATCGTCTGAGCCGGAGCTAGGGCAAGAACATCACTGCTGTCAGGTTAGCACGCCTTAGGGAGGTGGTTGCGGATCCAACAACGGGGAGCTGTCGGAGCCGAGGTAGGTGACGGGTCGAGGACATCGTCAGCCATGGAAGCAATGTAAATGGAAAATGGAAAGGTTGGAGAAAGAAAGGAAGAGTTGTCTGATCCTAATCGGTGGAAAAAAAAGCAAAGTGTTGAGCTACCCATGTTTCTTTTTTGGGTATGGGCACATGGAGCTGTTTTGCATCACTATGGGTCTACCACACGTCGCAACTAATCTCAGAGATTAGACGGTAAAAGCGTACTGGTACTGTAATTACTACCAAGTACTAGTACTATAGTACCAGTAGTATATGTGGTCCCTCTCGAGACAGTTAGCGGACGCAAGCGGTGTGGTGTGCCTGTGTGTTGCGTTGCCTCGTGTACCCGTTGGGGCAGTTAACAAGAGTGTCCTGCGTCATGGCTCGTGGACGCTTACCTTTTGTCGGATACACACGAGCATCCCAGAGATTTTAGCTAGAGAGATTGGAACGAGATCTAGCTAGGCTCAGTCATCCGAGATATTCATCCGGTCATCCCTTTTGTTTATTTTGTGCGCTTGTTCCGGTCCTTTTGGACCTTTTTGCCTGCTACCTCCACGTGAAAAGGCCAAAGCGAGGCGAGATCACCGATGCGCGTCTGCATACTGCGTATGCGTTGCGCTTGCGACTGCACTGATAGAGCTAGCGAAGATTACTACCGGCCGGGCTAGCGTGTGATATGATGATGAACTGTGACAGAGCACAGCACGCAAGCCATCAACT